GCTGGTGATAAAAGGTTTAAAGCTTAACTTTTTAAATAATACCAGTTTGTGACAAAGTGGTAAAACACCCGTAGCAAAATTCCAAAGTTAGTGGCAATCAGAAGGCAAGATGTTCTTGTCTAGTAGTTTTATTTTAAAATAATTCATTTTGCTAAGATTTTATGTTAACAAATGTTGTACAGACCAGAGTTTAAAATGATTTATCTAATTGATTCCTTTTGTTACCTGGCTAGCAGGGAAAAGGGGTCGAGGCCGGTCCTGACCTGTTACAATGAAGACTGACTTGCTATGTGGGATTACACCAGAAGCTTGCAGTGGAGTAATGGTAAGGATATCAAGCAACCTTAAGTATCTCAGCTGTATAGGAGCATATTCTGTTGCAAAAGACCTTCCTGCGAAGATCATGGATTCAAATATGGGACATTTGAACTAATACTTGGACTTTGAAATGAATTTATTTTAACAGTTTTCTCTGCAGTGCAAGTTATTAAACTAAAGCTACTCTATTTCCCCAATGTGTTCAACAAAATCCTTAACGTTTAGCATGGTATCTTAATAAAGAATAAAGTCGTTCTTTCAAAAATCTGCTTTAAGTAGATTTTTCCCCCAAGTTTTCTTAGTTAAGGATTCCAGAAGTGGTATTCACAAATTCTTGCATTTAAATTTTTTTATTGCAGTGGTATAGATGAATACCATCATTGGTATCCTTAAATTTTATTTCTGCTCATGAAGGTTAATCATGATTGTCTATATAGTAATCACTTATGAATTGTGTTCAGATACAGCAGTTTCAGGTGTAATCATCAGAGCTGGTTAGTCAGGCATTCCAGATAGTGGTTCTTTTCAGAACCTTTTTTAAAGGGTTGGTTAACTACCTCAGTAGCAGAGGATTGAACTATACCCTGTCTGTACTGTACATAGAAAATCTTTGTAGATAAAAGCAAGGCTTGTTTAATATGATATGAGGGTAAGATTATAATATACCAAATGTAACATTCTTAGTTGCCTTTAGTTCCAGAGGCTTTGTAAGACTTCCTCATGACCATCATAACAGGCCTTGCTTTTGTCGTATTTTGTGGCTGAAAAAGCAGCCTTGCTTCTTCAGATATTGTAGTTATTTGGATGTATAATAGTTTAGCAAGATGTTACTTTTGTAAGACATCAGATGTTCAAAAAAAGTGCATCAGCAACTTGTACTAAATACTGCAGTGTCCCTTTATAAAAGGTCAGACTAAAACTGACAACTGTACAGTGAAGCCTGACATTTGGATATTTTGAAGTTTTTCATAAATCATAGAATAGTATATGGCTGTAGTTTAGCTTTTTAGGTAAAAGGTATGTTTTCATTAGTGCATTTCTTATTGCTGATCACTGTAAAAACATGTGGGTCAGCTTTCCATTTCTCTTACGCAGATCATGATAACCTGTAGAGTAGAGTAGAGTACAATCATTTGTGCTATGTTTTTAATTTTCTAAAGCACCTTGATGACAGTGAGTGTTCAGTGGTGAAGCATCCTCTATTGAACCACCCTTAAAAAAGACAAAACAAAAGCAAAAAGAACTTTGCCAAGTCCAACTTCGTATAGGTAAAAGATAGATAAAATTATGGCTTACTTTGGACTTGGCATAAAGAGCTTCCCTTAACCCCCTGCCCAAAGGGATACTGCAGTTATACTACATACCCATAGGCACCACAATGAAAATTGAAGCTTATACCCGATTAAGGTTTTATACACACCAGTTCCCCCAGTAAATGCAAATTTTAACAAAATTAGACATGTCATATGTTGAAAATGCTCATGACAAACAATCATTTTGCATTCCTACATTCCTGCAAATAAAATTGTTTTATACTGTAAGCTGGAGGCGAGTGTAACTTATTTTTGTAATAAAGTTTTTATTTTTTTTATGTGTCATTAATATAAATGTGTGTTAGTACAGAGATCTTCTGGTTAAAAACTTAGAATCGCACACATTTCAGTATGTTTACTTGTATTTACATGATTTTTAGAATAGTGGTTGCCAATAGCCTGTATGTTTCACATTAATTGATTTTTTTTTTTTTTTTGTTACCATAATAAACCATTTTAGTATGTTGTATGTCAATTACTGGGATAGCTGGGACATGAAGTGTAATTTAAAATTGTCAAGTATTCATTGGAATATGTAAATGTGCCTTGCCAGTTTTGAACTTTTAAGACAAAGTAAGTGAATGATGGTGAAATGAGTAGTCAATGCGTAAGAGACATTTGCTACCACAGTTTCATATACTGCCCTTGCTAAAGAAAAGTAACTTTTCCCTCAAATTTGAGCATAAAAGTATGCAGTTGCATTAGCTTTTGAATTTTCAAATCTAGCGGTAGAGTATTCGGCTTATGGAAAGTGGGTTTGCTAATTGTAGCCTTAAGTATAATTTTGAATTTCAATGTAATCCTTGGTGCTGGCGTTCCCAGTGCCAAGGAGTTTGAATGCTCCCTTCAAAGAGGTTGCCATGCCTACTGGCACTTTTACTGTCATACGGTTTTATAAAGAACACTGTCAAGATGTGTAAACCAATTTTGAACTTGCTATAAAATGAATGCACTGGGGGCTGTAGAGAGCGGAAGTCCTCAGATTTCTTAATCTTGAAATCTCTCCATTGCTGAAAAACTTAAAACACTTGTGGGATCACAAGTGCTGGTGACTAGTTCTTAGTCTGGAAATGTGTCAGGGTGGGTAATATATTTATGGAATCATAAGAGTTAAAGGAAGTGCATAAAAACATTGCTATTAAGGCACTACTTGTGTTGAAATTTTGGATCATATCCTTAATTTCAGCTCTGATAAAAGTAGGGGGGACTGTTGCTTGAAAAAAAATTTTAAAAAGAGGCAAAATATACAGGAAGGTATTTTTAATGGAATGCAAGCAATGGTGAGTGAGCAAAATATCGAGATCTTGACAGTGTTCCCTCTAATTATGAACTCAAGCCATTATAACTTTTAAAATTAAATATGATTTGCACTGTTCTGATATTGGTGCAGTTTTTTAGCAAAATTATCAGAAAACAAATTGCATGTGGTGATTAATATTGTGGGGAAAAAAGCAAAAACGAAAATCAAAAAGATGTTATTTTCGAAGCTTTACATTTGATTGTGTAAAGAAAAATCTTTCATTATTAAGTGGAAATACTGGTGAGAACGGGCAAGTGCATATATACAACATCAGTTTGGTTGCACTTGGGTGTTGGTAAACTTGAAATGTTCTACAGCAATAATGCATCTAGTATGGGGTGCTTTGGTGACAAATGGAGATATAACACAGTTTTTTGGCATGTTGAAGGCAAGTGTTGACTTAATGTATTATGCTGCCTCTGTTTATTCTCATAGGAGGCTTTCTTTACTGAAATACCTGCAAAAGTTTGAGTATAAGTTAGCATAGTTCCATATTGGTTTGTACTATGTTCCTAAATTTGAAGTCTAGTTGAATTTAATAAGAAATCAGAAACTGCTGCTGCTTAACACTTCTGGTTTATAAACACTCCAATACACTGCTTTTTAAATTATACTTTGGTTTTAATATTCATTTTTGTTCGAAGGGCTTCATATAGGACATACAACTGTACTTTTATAAATTATTAATTTTTTTTAAAGAGCAGATTTATTACAAGCCAGAACTTAAGTTTGTGTTCTTAGTGTTGGAGGGGAAGGCTGTTATTAGAGATACTAAGACCAGTTTCTGAATTTTTGCTTTGTGTACAACACTTACCTAAATACTGTCTTAAAATCTAAAATAAGGCTTACTAATTCTGGTTTTGTTGTGGGGTGAGGGGTATGACATAGCATCAGATAAACTCAGCCTCCTTTGAAGGTAGAATTCCCAACTTAATATTTCAGGATAAAAATGTTATATATGGCTGCAACTTTTTTTCCCTCGTGCCTTTGATAATTCTTCAGAGGCTTAACTTTTCTGTTCAGCCTAGCAGTTACTTTGATGCTTCCATACATCAGTGAGGGGAGACCCTTTTTTGAAAGAAATCAAAAACTGAAAGGCAACATGGACATAAAAACGCGTAACGCTTCCTGAAAGGAGCATGTTCAAGCTGATACATTCCACAAAATTAAGACTGTTATTCCCTCACTTGCATTGAAAACTTAGTGGAAAATATTAGTTGTTTAAAATGGAATAGCAAGTTTTGGAAGTAGGCAGTAAGGCAATAAACTTGGCAATGTAGCATTCTGAGAACTGAAATTTGTGAAGTTGGAGCTTGAGTTTGTGTTCATAGCATGAAGCTTACGAATCCCAACTTCATGACTGGCTGTGATGGTCTTAAAAGTCTGTCTTTGCCAAGTGTCTTGCTGAATTAACTGCAGCACCATCACATGACATCTCTTGGCAGGAGCAAGCTGGGCAGAGGAAACACCAGATTGTACTTTGTCATTTGCTCTTTCAGATGAAAATGGTATGTGGCAACAGGAGAGGAAGTGGAGCTGAAGATTCCTTAATATGGGTAGTGGGAACAGAAGGAAAAAATTATTAATTGTTGCTTTACAGCCATCTAGTGCAAACAAACTTAAAGCTTCTTAGAAGCTCTGATGTTAAACTTCTTTCTGGGAGACCGATTTTCACATAGTCATCTGGTCAACACTTTGTAAGTGTTTAACTATACTTAATTGTGTTATAAAATCCACAGGATGAAAGAGTGACTTTTCTTTGCTGCCTGTTTGCCTTGACTGTTACAGTAGGTTTGTTGAAAAGTACCACTAGAACTGGCTTGTTAGTTTATGGAGACAGGGGTGATAGTCTCATGCAATTATATCTTTTTCTTGCCCATATATAACTGGTTTCTAGTTTTTTCCACAAACATACATATTTTTAAATGGCCGGCTCTGAAATGGATGCTGCGCAGCTGAGCTCATCTGGAAACATTGGGTTACATTGATTATTTAAAGATATCTTCATGAAAACTTCTTTAGATTGTCAGATTTCCAGGTACCTAATAAAAGCTCTTTTATAAAACAAAAAAAGAAGAGATATCTGTGACAGTCTAGGAAACACAGGCATAGTGTGTAGGTAATAGGTAATTAAATACGGCTTGAATATTTAAGGTTTGAATCACAAGATACGTTTCAGGTCCGAGAGTTGTTTCATTCCTTGAATGTCCATGAAACTTGGTGTCTACTCCAAAGCCAACACTTACTTTCTGACAGTCATTTAGATAAAACTTGCCGTGCCAGAAATCTGGATTCCCTCTAGTCTGAGAATGATGTGTTTGGCTGATAAATGGTGCACAGTTAGTGTGACAATACCATTTTACTTGTTTTGGTTGCTAACATACAGAAAAGACATTGAATCTTACCGCTTATTTTCTTTGCACTAAGGAAGTTACGAAATGCATTCTTAGTTGTGCTACGCAGCCAGTAGAATAGCCTATGCCATTTGACTGCACAGAAGATAATGGTAAGTAAAAGTAGACTTTTTAGTACTTAAATGACTTGCAGTACCTAAAATCCAACTTCAGTAGACTGTTTAAATGACTCCTCATCTGTAGTTCATTAGGGAGGTTGTGGTTTTTAACTCTTAAATTTTAGTGTGTCCAGTTGAATGCTAAGTGAATGTTGAGTGTAGTCTGATACTGTTTATAATGTTAAATACTTTACATCTAAAAATACTTCATCTCTGAAAAGCTTCATAGATAAAATTCAGTATGCGTTTTTAAACTGATGCGTTAGCAATCAGTTTGAATAGTTATATAAGGGATATAACATGAACACAGTCCTTGAAAGCCAGGAACGGAATATATCAGGTCATGAGTTCCTGGTTCCAAGTGTAGCATTTCTAGTATTGTTCTGCCATCTAAAGTAACGTGTTTCAGATTTCTTTTTTTTTCTCTTAAGTGGGATGAAAAATGCACCTAATTCTGTCAGTAGTAGGAGTTATTTAAAAACTGTATTACTAAATGTAGCTGATTTGGGATTAAAAAGCTTCCTCTGTGAGAATTCAACAAAGGCAATTTTATAAATGTTCCATTAGTAAAATACAGTTTTTCTTAAGGTGCAATTTCAGCATACTTAAGAATGAAGCTCTGTATCACGAAACACCAGTGAGAGCTAGCCTGAAATTGTAATTAATTGCAAGGTGAGTTTAATCTTTAATATTACAGTATTTGTGATGACAGATAAAAATACCTAGTCCCTGCATCTAGAAAAGCTGAAGTGGCGATTAAAGGACTGTTCCTGTTTGAGATTGTGGTCAATGGCTTGCTTTGGATAGTGCAATGAAACCCTTTTTCTTTCAGTGCAAAGAGTTGTTCTAACAAGCTCACCTGTTTCCATTCCCCAGTTTTCAACAGAATTTTTGAGTTTCGTATGTGCACTTAAATTGATACTTTCAGCAGAAGACAAACCTCCAGTGAGAGTCACTGGTGTAGATGTGAGTAGTAGTTTCACCAAGAAGTGACCAGTGTATAAGTTTGACTTAAACTAGTCTGGTGAAACTGCCCTTTATTCATCTTACCTACACTTCTGCAGAAGCATGTTAGTTTACACTTGCTTTTGAATTAGTGGGATGGTTAAAAGCTGTGAAGAGAAGAACATCACGTCTGTTCTTAAAGTCTGACAGAATTTGCAAACGCTGCAGATTTCATGCTAATGGAAGAGTAGACTTGAATAGAAAAGGGGGAATAAATGCTGTAACTTCTCTCACTGGAAGTTCTGAAGATAACACAAGCTTTAGGTGGCTTTAAGCTTTAGCAGTGAGTGCAGTAGAAGGTGGGTTAGTGTAGTTGAGTCCTATCTGCTGCCTTGCTCCACTACATTTTCATAATGCTAACAAAACCTCCCAGAGAATTCTTTTAAAAAAAATTCCCATTAGGGAATTAACTCCAGTGCAATCAAACTTCCAGTTAAAATTAAGGATCTAGAAGGTTTTAAGTCCATTGGATTTAAAGTAACTTATTTTTGTGTGTGTTGTTTGCAACTTGGTTTTGCATAGAAGTGATCTTACAATGAGAATAGTGTAATAAATGGCACTTAGTATTTTTTTAATGGTATACTAATCTGAAAAATACAAGAGTTTGGTTTGTTGATGTTCTGAGCCACCATTCAGGTGGTCATGTTTCTATCCAAGAAAAGGACCTTAATATTTGTATGGCATGACCTGCTAAGTAAGTTCA